GCTTCGAGGTGGGCGCCGAGGGCTTCATCACGCAAGTAGAGCGCTTCACGTTCGCCGAGACGGCGGGGCTGCGGCCCGGGGCGCGCCTGCTGCGCGTGTGCGGCCAGACGCTGCCCAGCCTCGGCCCCGAGGCCGCTGCCCAGCTGCTGCGCTCGGCGCCCAAGGTCTGCGTCACCGTCCTGCCTCCCGACGAGAGCGGCCGGCCCCGCAGGTCAGGGTGCAGGGGACGCCAGGGGGTGGGAAGACCGGGCAGCCGGCCCCCGCCCAGCCCGGGCTCCCGTGTGTACATCAGCGTCCTCTCAGGAATCCCGTGTGGATGCCTTTCCTTCTTGAGAGGACTCCCCGTGGCTCCCCCTCTCTGTACCGCACTTTTTCTCGTGTGTTAGAATGGCACCAGTTAGACACGTTGTTTCCACTACCCGAACATCAAATAGCCCCCACCCGACTAGCCTTCCCCGCCCCGCCGCATGTCGAGTGCTAACCGAGGTACAGGCAGACTTTCCGCAGAGGGCCAGAGAGTTAATAGTCTGGGCCGTCTGAGCCCCTGGTCTCTGCTGCAGCTACTCAGCTCTAGTTGTAGGTAAATGAACGTGTGGTGTGTTCCACTCAACTTTGTTTATGGACGTGGAAAATTGTATTTTATATAATTTGCACTTGTCTTGAAATATTCGTTTGATTTTTTTCAACTAGTTAGAAATGTAAAAACCATTCTTAGCTCACAGGAGGTCAAAAACTGGCATATCTGTTTAAAAAAGAAAAAGAAAAAAAGGCACAGGCCATATTTGGGTTCAGGCAGTAGTTTTTGGATGCTGATCCATTTACCCGTGCTGTTATTTAACCTCTGGCAGCACTTTTATCCCCATTTCACCAATGGAGAAATTGATGTTCACAGTGATTTGCCCAGGATACACGGAGGCAGCACTGGGATTTGAAGCTAGGTGTGGAAAAATGTCCAGTAACCAGGCAGACATTTTTCATTGTTGTCAGGGAGTTGGAGGAGCTCTCCTCCTCCTGGAAATGAGCCCTCTGGCAGCAGCTGGGGATGGGACTGGGGGACTAGGGAGTCCTGCTTGACACCACCCCTTCTCCCCCAGGAGCTTTTCGGAGCTGTACACGCTGTCTCTGCAGGAGCCCAGCCGGCGGGGTGCCCCAGAGCTAGTGCAGGATGAGGCCCCAGTGTTGGTCCTACTGCCCAACACAAGGCAGCTACTTCACCTGTGCCTGCAAGATGGCGGCAGCCCTTCAGGGCCAGGGGATCTGGCTGAGGAGAGGACTGAGTTCTTGCACAGCCAGAACTCGCCATCATCCCGCAGGTACACCCTCTTGGCCTCCCCTCTCCGCCAGCCCAGTGAGGCCTGGACAGGCAGGCCTCAGTGGAAGCAGTTTCCAGTAGTGAGCCACCCCCCTCTCCCCAGCTCCCTGTCAGATGAGGCCCCAGTCCTGCCCAACACCACCCCAGACCTCCTCCTGGTCACCACAGCCAAGCCGTCAGCTCCTGGTGCTGGCAGGGAGACACCCCCCACCGAGGTGAGCAGAAACAAGGCTCTGGAACCCAATGGCACAATGGTGACAGTGGGTGTCACTGCATCCATATCCACCTCTGCTCCCCAGGACGGGCCCAATGGCCATGAGGACAAGGAGGACAAGTGTGACCCGGCCCCAGAGCTGAGCACCTCCATCCTGCCACGAACTTTGTCTGTGAGGAACTCCATCAGCAAGAGTGAGTGTGGAGCAAGGCAGGTGCAGGAGGGAGCAGGAGGGCAGCTCCGGGCTCCCCTGGCTGAGCCCACTTCTGCCCGCAGTCATGTCGGAGGCGGGCAGCGAGACCCTGGAAGACGAATGGCAGTCCATCTCGGAGATCGCCTCCACTTGCAACACTATTCTGGAGTCACTGTCCCGAGAGGGTGAGGCCACCAGGGTGCTGGGGGTAGGAGCCAGGATGGGGCTCTCTCTCTTTCCGACCTGCCCACACAGTCCCTCTGTCCCCATAGGACAGCCCATCCCAGAGAGCAGAGACCCCAAGGGAACTCCAAAGTCTGATGCTGAGTAAGGCTCCCCATCCTCATGTAGCCCCTGTATCATGCATGTGTGACCACTCTTTGTGCCTGTCCCCTGGAGCTGAGCATTATCCAAGGTTCTGCTTCCACATGCACTTAAATCTGAGAAGATAGGGGCTGGGCCCCCTCTCACTCAGGTGGGTCTGGGAGCCAACCTGTGGCACTGCCTTGTGCCCTGGTCCTGCTGAGTCCTGACCCCCATGTCCTCAGGCCAGAACCTGGGAGCCTGTCAGAGAAGGTCTGTCACTTGGAGTCCATGCTCAGGAAGCTGCAGGAGGACCTGCAGAAGGTGAGGGGGCGGGCTGGGGTTGGTGGGGAGTCACAGGGCTACCCCAGCAAAGGACCAGCTGCTCTGACTCCTGTCTCCCCCCACCCCCAGGAGAAGGCAGACAGGGCAGCTCTGGAAGAGGAGGTGCGGAGCCTGAGGCACAACAACCGGCGGCTCCAGGCTGAATCGGAGAGCGCAGCCACCCGCCTGCTGCTGGCCTCCAAGCAGCTGGGCTCGCCCACCACCGACCTGGCCTGAACTGGCCGTGCCAGCCTCTGTCTGGCTATGGGCCTGCCTCAAACTGCATGGCCCATCAGGGCACCTGGGTCACACGGGGCCCTCAGCCCTCCTCAGGAACTCTCTCCCCGCGCAGAGGCGCATCTTAGCACTGCCCCCACTCCCCAGCCCATTATTTGGTGGCAGAGTTGCCCCCACATCGTCCCTGTTTGTAAATATTCTGTGGAGAAAAGGGGACTTCAGGGAGTAAAGAAACCACTGCTTTTTGTGTCTGTACATGTGTTTAAGACATGACAGGGGAAGGGGTTTTGCCCCCAGAGGTCTCAGCCAAGCTCCGAGGGCCAGTTAGAAGCACAGGTCCTGGGAACATTGGCTCAGGGTAGGGCTGGCACTCACTAAGAGGTCTCTGAGGCTAGGTGACCCCTTAACTTCTCTCCCACAAACATTTGTTTGGTTCTGTTGGGAAGCAGGTGGCCATACTCCACACCTACCCTGCCTGGTTCTCCAAGCCCTGGAAGCCAACTTGAGGGGCTGAGGTCAGGGGCAAGGGAACAGAAAGTGGACCTATAGGACAGGGGAGGGACAGTGCTTAGGGGTCAAGGAGAACCAGGCTTTGCCTCACAAGGCTCTGCCTCACAAGGCTCTGCCCCCGAGTGCAGGCCCCACTCTGGTCTCTGAGCCCTCAAGCCCAGTATTGCCTCAACCACCTGGCCATATCTTGCAGGGCCCAATTCCAGAGGTGGTAACTTCCCTGCCTCAGTTGCCTGGGGAGGAAATTGGCCCTTGACCCACTTCTCCCTTCACCAGCCTGTGATCCCTCTGTTCCTCACCAGATGGGGTCTTTCCCATGAGTGGCATCATGAGGTCCAAACTTGAACTCTGTCTAAACCCTGTGTTTTCTGGCCCTGAGGCCCTAACAGGGCACTAACTTGCTCAGCATCACATGCCTCATCCAGCCCCTTCCCTAGGCTGGTTGAAGCTCACTCTGCTGAGACCTAGGCTCTGGGCCTGTTACTTAGGCAATGGCAGGATGAGAAACAGAGCATCAGGGGATCAGGAAGTCTTCATGGAGGAGGTAATGTGAGGGTTGAGTTTTGAAGGCGGAGTAGGAGTTCACCAGGCAGAGGTTTCAAAGGTATCCTGGTGGGACCAGCTTTTTGGACTAGAGTCAGAGCACATGCAGGAGCCAGGATCGCTGGAGCAGGAGCTGGAGCTGGATGGGACAGACTTGTGACAGGTGCACTGGAGATCCTAGATTAGCAGTTCTCAACACTGCCCCAGCTTTTCCTGTTGTGGACTATAGTGAGCAGCCCTCACAGGGCAGTGCAGAAGGCTCTGGTCACTCTCTGGGGGTGTGTCTGCAGAAAATTGGGTTCTGGTCATGTGGATGATAGATGTTTAAAGGGAGAGTGACAGGATGAGATTTGGGTGTGAGTCCTTTGGCTGCAGGGAGGCCAGGGAGGAGGCTACAGCAGCAGTCCCGGTGGGAGGTGGTGGTGACCTAAACTATGTGATAGCAGTGGTGATGGAGAGAAGTGGACAGATTTGCCAGAACCGCATGAGGGATTGGATGCGAGTTGCTAGGAGAGAATAGGTGGCATCCACAGTGGTGGCCACGTTTCTGGCTGAAGCTCCTAGAGGGTGGCAGGGCCATGGCTGAGACGGAGAGGGAAGGAGGGGCAGGCTGGGGATGGCTGAGGTCATCTGGAACAGTGTTGGTTTGAGAGGCCTGAGGGACGTAGGGTGGAGATGTCCAGTGGGCTGGAGTGCAGGGGTTAAGAAACCTGGGCTGGAGGGCTGGCCGGTTAGCTCAGCTGGTTAGAGCGCAGCCTTCTAACACCAAGGCCAAGCGTTCGGTTCCCCATACCGGCCACCAAAAAAAAAAAGTCTGGGCTGGAGACAAAGATTTGGACTGGTGAACTATGAGGTCACTTAGGGAGTGTGGGAAGGACCGTGAGAGGGTTTCCGGGGGTCACTGCAGGACACCGGGAAAACCAAGAACGAGGTCTGGGCTGGAGGATCTGGGCTCACTCGTTTCCCTTTGGAACTCCGGTTGGGGACATCGCGTGCAGCTCCTCCGTCGGCTTCCTCTGGGTCAGGAGCCTTATCACCCCGCCGGGTCCCTCCTTCGCCTCCGCGGCTCTATCGAGCCCCACCCTCCCCCCACCGCCCCCAGGCAGGTTCGCCCGGGTCCTGACCCGGCCACCATTTCGGGCTCCGCCCCTCGGGCGGGAGTTCCACTTGGCCCGGCCCCTGAGTGGGTCACCCTCGCTTCAGGCCACGCCTCTACCCCCGCCCCCCGAGCCGGAGGCCCCACGGAATCTGGACTCAAGCGTCTTCCGGTTCCCTAACATGCGCCGCCCGCTAGCATCTCTCGCAGCCGCCGTCGGTGGGGGTCTGTACCCAGGGCCTATTGTGTTCCCAGGGGACTCGCTAACTTTTGCAGCGCATCCTACTAATGATAACCCGTTTGCCCCTGCCATCACCTCCCGCAACGGTGCAAAGCCCAGAAGAGAGATGCCATCGGCCTCAGCAAAGGAGTTTTCCTGAAGGGTATTACCTGGCCTCCCCCTCGCTGAACGCCCTGTGCGCACGCGCACCCGAGGCGGGCTCTAGCCGGCCAGAGCCTTCCGCTGCCGCGCGTGCGCGTGAGCCCGACCAAGCCGGAAGTACGTTTAGTACTAGCTCCATAAGGCCTGGTCTTTGTTTCGGCTTCCTGGGGCTGTGGATTAAGATTTCTTCGTTCATTTCGGAACGGATAGGATATCAACGCATAGGTGGGGCAGGCCTAGACCTTCACCTGGCCTCTCCCATTCCCAGACAGAGGCAAGCTTTTCCTTGGCCATCCAAGAGATAAAAGCCCAGACTTCTTAGCCCTGCATTCTTGATCGTTTACAGCCTGGCCCTATGGAATCTTTCCAACATCGTCTCTCTTACCTGGCTCACCTCCAAATGCTGGCTCGCTCCTCTTTGAGATCTACCCTCTGTTGATCTAAGACCTGGAGCTAACGGGCCTCTGTGAAGACTTGTAACTGCTCTATCCCCAGAGCCAATGGGCCCCACTGGGCTCTCACTGCGCTGGAAGCCCCACTGTAGCTGCCTGTTTTCATCCACTGGATAGTAACTGGGGGGTTCCAAGGTCATCCTCTGTCTGCAGGCTCCCGGATGACTGTACATATTCATCCAACTCTGAATCACCAGTGTCCAGCCTGATGTGACCAGCAAAGTGTGCACTCAGTGTTTGCTGAAAAAAGGCAAATCTCTGGCCAGCTTGGCAACAAATTTATTAGTTCAGAGTAGAAAGAGCAAGAGTCCAATTGCTTTGATTCTTCAGTTAAAAATGTGCCTCTTGACTGGAGAGCTGCCAACCTGCCCTCCTCCTACTCTCCAAACAACTCGCCCTATTCTTTCCTTTTTGTTGTCTGCCTGGTGCTCACCCTACTATTAAGGCACTTGAGAAAAGAGGGAGCAGGAAACAGGGAAGCCTCAGAACAAACCCTCTCTAGATCCAGGAGAGGGCCAGCACTGTCCCACCAGTTCTTTTCAGCCACAGTTGAGCAAGGAAAGAGCTGGCAGAGACCTCTGCAGGGCAGGAAGGCCAGTTTCTCAAATGCTGGTGTTAAGCACAAGGACAATGCCAGCGCCACGGAGAAGGGGTTGGTAATAGGGACATTATTCTGGATCAAGGTGTAAATGAATCCATGATGTGAGGAAGACACTTGATAATAAGGCTTTGCGGCCTCAAAGGCCACAGCTCCAGCCTGCCCCTCTCTCTAGGAGAGTACTAGAAGCCGGAGGATAGGGATGGGTGCTCCAGAGTTCCTTATAGAGGGGAGCTAACCATCAGGATAAAGGAAGAAAGAGTTTGAGTTCTCCCAGCCCCCCCTTTCCAGAGAAGTTAATGCTTCTGCTTAAGCACCTCCAGAGAGAGAGAGAGATATAGATACTGCTGATAAAAGAATAAAATGCGCCCCCACCCCCCAGAAGACATTACCCAAAGTTGGGGGAGTTGGAGCACAAGCCCCCAGAATCCATAAGTGCTTTGGGAAGGCTTCAATCCCCTGCAACCCAGTACCTGGGCAGAGCAGGTATCACCCCTTTAGGAGCTGATCTGACTCAGAAGGGCTGAGAAGTCCATGTCTGCAATGGAGGAGAAGTCTTCATCCCCTGAGAGGAGGCCGTTGGGGAGCCCTGAGGCCCCAAGGGGGGCAGGAGCTGGGTCAGGGGGCCTCTGGGACCCTGTCACCAGGCGAGTTATGGCCTCAGGGTACTCCATCAGCATGGGCTCAGCTGTGTGGGGGGCCATAGATACACCCTGGTTTAGCAGCTGCTGAAACTCAGAGTTGTCGACAGATGCCAGGTCCGTGAACACGGTTGGGTCTGTGCTATTGCCCAGCAGGGCTCCCAGGTCTTCATCAGCATCAAACTGCAGCTGCAGCAGGGCCTCTGACAGTGTTCCTTCCCCAGCCTGGGGGTTCTTGGTGGCAGGTGGAGCCACAGCCTGAGGAGGGCCTGAAGCTAGGACAGGGGCCGGGGTCGGGACCTGGGCCAGGACTGGGCCAGGGGCTGGGGTTTGGGCCAGGACTGGGGCCGGTGCCAAGCCCGAAGCCTGACTTGGGATGTGCCCAGAAGAATATACCATGGGCGAATACTCATCAAAGTTGATGGTGCTGAGAGACGGCGTAAAGGGATAGGGCTGGGGAGCTGGAGGAGAGAGACAGAGAGGCGGGGGTCAGAGAAAACCCCAGAGACCCATCCCATCCTCTGCACCCAGCCCCTCTCAATTGTGCTTAGGATCAATCCCTTTCTATGGAGTCACTGGCAACAACCTAGCTTCTTCCTCCTACCCAGTCTGACCCAGCCTGTGGGGTCCAGTCTAGCCACACCTCTTTAGAGCCCTCCCTGACTACTCAAGCCCACAAAGCTCTCTCACCTCGGACCTCTTAAAGCTCTCCCAGCTTTTAGAGGAAGGGACACTTTCAGAGATCAGCTGATCTCACTTTACAGCTGAAAAACCAAGTCCTGAGGGTATGAGCCCATGGAGCACCAGTGAGTAATGGCCTTAAGTGGGCACTTTGTCACTCTTTTTTGAGCCATACACCAGCACATACATCCTGCTATATTATTTTATTTATTTATTTTTTTAAAAGATGACTGGTAACGAGATCTTAACCCTTGACTTGGTGTTGTCAGCACTACGCTCTCCCAAGTGAGCCATGGGCCGGCCCTCATCCTGCTACTTTAGAGGTGAATTTTTTGTTTCCCTAATTCAACTG